TTAATAAAAATATTAATTTTAGCTTTCATAAAATATTTCATAGTCAAATCATTTCATCATTGGAAGAACCTCTAATTGTAAGTCATTCAATATGCCAGGAAACACAACGAATCTTGCATTATCTCAATAATTCGAGAAGCGGCCCGACTCGGTTCAGACGGCGGGAGTCTCATCCGGTCCTCTGCTGTTACCAATAATTACCCCAGAGGATTGTCTTGGCCTTTCTTGGCAAGTGATCTAAGTGTCACATATGTACAGTCTTAGTGAAGGCCATCCAAATACCAGGAATCCTTTTGTTTGCTTGGGTTTCCATGAAGTTCCTGTTTCGTTTCTCATGTATTTCCTCCGAGTTTCTTCAGTAATCATCGTAATAAGGCACGCAATGTGTGAGGTACCATAACTGTAGAATCAAACTTTTTCGCGAACACCTGGTATCATCACTATTCTATGATGATTCATTAACAATAAGTCATCCCATGATGTGTATGGATGGGGAAGGATTTTGTCGCTTGTATTTCAGCGTGTTAGAGTGAGTGAGTGAGTATGGTTTTACGCCGTTTTTAGCAATATTCCAGCAATATCACGGCGGGGGACACCATAAATGGACTTCACACATTGGGGATTCGAACCCGGGTCGACGGCGTAACGAGCCGACGCTTTAACCATTAGGCTACCCCACCGCCCCCGCTTTCTTGGATATATTTGCTTCTGGGTCAGTGTGACAGACTAGGATTTGGAGCTCGGGCGGGGCTGATTATATGCTAAGGGTCATTAGAACGAACACGTTTGTAACCACTTGGGTTGTTTGTGTTGGTCCACATGCTGTATATTTTAGTCGATAAAAACTATGGGCTCTAGGGACAAAAGAATGTGGTTCTTAAAAAATTGTTAAATTATATTGATCATGAGGTAGCCTTGAGTGAATGAAGTGTGTTGTTGTTGCTGAGGATTTACTTACAAAACACAAAGACTCTTTGATGCTGTGTTCATTTGATACGCACAGCATAGGAGTGTGAGTGAGTGAGTTTAGTTTTACACTGCTTTTAGCAACATTCCAGCAATATCACAGCAGGGGACACCAGAAATGGGCTTCACACATTGTACACATGTAGGGAATCGAACCCCGGTCTTCGGCACGACGAGCCAACACTTTAACTACTAGGCTACCCGTTGCCCTCATGGCATATGATGGGACAGGTGATTAAGAACACACACGTCAGTGATGAATGCCATGCTCAAGGGAGGAACACAAACACAGGGATGACAACTATGGAACAACAAGTCTGTTTATTTCTGAAAAGTTAACAAAGCACACGTAAAGATATGGATCCGCTGGATCACTATGACCATACATGTGTGTACTGTACAAGCTATAACTGGCCTAGTTGCCACTCCAGGCCTTCACCCAACCTTCACCTTCACTTGCATCCAACAAATGCATTCTGGTCCATTAGCAATCAGGATACATGGTAACACCCAGGTACAGCTCCATCAAGTCCATGAGAAAAGTCAAGACTTACATTTGAAAGGCTACCAACACTCGTTTCGTATAGGGACTCGGGTATAGTTAGGACTCAAGAATGAAAAAAATTGACTGTTATTAGGATTCTGGAGAGGGTGATTGGCAACCGAATTTCATCAACAGGTCATTGAATGCTTTTTTGCTGGACATGAAACTAATGACATAAAAGCATTTATCATTCCTCTCTGCAAGTCCCTGTAAAACACCGACCATTGTTAAAACTGTAAATATCAGTTTTCACTCAATAATCTGCTAACCACTGATTTCAGTTTATGTGAGCCAGGTCCCGAAACCCACCATGACAGTTTAGTCAATGGAACATTATTTCCTTGCTGATAAAGTTGCCAACAGATTGTCAAATGAATCCTATAAGCTCAAAACACATGGTAGAATATGTTTAAAGGCACCATCTGGACTACTAGAGTCATGTCACTAATACCTTACGAGAAACCAATGAGGACAAACCAGTGGCTGATAACATGAGCACTGGCCAAGTGATCAAACTGTTGATCATGGTACCATCACCCTACACTGAACAGGCAGGGGGACTGAGGACCCGCGGGGATGCTTCTATGAATCAGTTTAGTTTTACGCCTGCTTTTAGCAACATTCCAGCAATATCACAGCGGGGACACCAGAAATGGGCTTCACACATTGTACACATGTAGGAATCGAACCCCGGTCTTCGGCACGACGAGCCAACACTTTAACTACTAGGCTACCCGTTGCCCTCATGGCATATGATGGGACAGGTGATTAAGAACACACACGTCAGTGATGAATGCCACGCTCAAGGGAGGAACACAAACACAGGGATGACAACTATGGAACAACAAGTCTGTTTATTTCTGAAAAGTTAACAAAGCACACGTAAAGATATGGATCCGCTGGATCACTATGACCATACATGTGTGTACTGTACAAGCTATAACTGGCCTAGTTGCCGCTCCAGGCCTTCACCCAACCTTCACCTTCACTTGCATCCAACAAATGCATTCTGGTCCATTAGCAATCAGGATACATGGTAACACCCAGGTACAGCTCCATCAAGTCCATGAGAAAAGTCAAGACTTACATTTGAAAGGCTACCAACACTCGTTTCGTATAGGGACTCGGGTATAGTTAGGACTCAAGAATGAAAAAAATTGACTGTTATTAGGATTCTGGAGCAGGTGATTGGCAACCGAATTTCATCAACAGGTCATTGAATGCTTTTGCCTGACATGAAACTAATGACATAAAAGCATTTCTCATTCCTCTCTGCAAGTCCCTGTAAAACAACCGCCCATTGCTAAAACTGTAAATATCAGTTTTCACTCAATAATCTGCTAACCACTGATTTCAGTTTATGTGAGCCAGGTCCCGAAACCCACCATGACAGTTTAGTCAATGGAACATTATTTCCTTGCTGATAAAGTTGCCAACAGATTGTCAAATGAATCCTATAAGCTAAAACACATGGTAGAATATGTTTAAAGGCACCATCTGGACTACTAGAGTCATGTCACTAATACCTTACGAGAAACCAATGAGGACAAACCAGTGGCTGATAACATGAGCACTGGCCAAGTGATCAAACTGTTGATCATGGTACCATCACCCTACACTGAACAGGCAGGGGACTGAGGACCTGCGGGGATGCTTCTATGAATCAGTTTGGTTTTACGCCGCTTTTAGCAATATTCCACCAACATCACAGCGGGGGACACCAGAAATGGGCTTCTCACATTGTACCCATGTGGGGATTCGAACCCGGGGCTTCGGAGTGACGAGCCAACGTTTTAACCACTAGGCTACCCCACTGCCCCCAATGTTTCTAAAAAGATGACAATGCAGCATAAAGCATCTACAACTCCCTGACTAACCCTCAGATGTCATTTTCTCAGGGACTCTCCAGCAGCTGTACCTGGACATACATATTCATGAAGACAAACAGTCTTACCATATCAATCAGTTTAACATCAGATACCCACATTCTCCTTGAAGTTACATCAACTGAGGAAAAACATCATATACTACTCAAGTTTTCACAGGGACTTTCCTGTTCCATATTCAGAGCCATAACACCCCCATGCATCTAAAGACAAAGGAAAGATCTTATTGGAATCATACACAATGACTTTTGTCAATAATTTTGTTTTGAGATGCAGTTCGAAATATATACTAACATTTCAAGCAAGATAAAACTTGTTCAGTGTTACTAAGCAATAACAATTGCCCCATATTGGTTCATCAGCTGGTCTGGGGCAAATATATAGATAACTTACACCTTGGTCCAGAAGTTGGTCTGGGGGCACTTCACATGTTGTATACATAACTTGCATAAAATACCTGTGTCCTTATTAAAAGTTGAGTAGTATATTTCTCTGAAGCCTGACCCAGTGCATTGTACTTAACACTGCTTCGTCATGGCCTGTTAGCTACAAAAACCTGGGAGGAAAATCTGGAGTACCGCTGGTTGTCAAGATCACCACTTTGGTGAGGTCCTCAAACACATGTTCCATCCTGACAGACCAAGGATCATAATGAAGATCCTGGTTGCAGGTTTTGTAGCTGAGAGGAACCGAGGGATAATGTAGGCTGTTTCTAAACAGGTTGTACTAATCAACAAAACAAAAATATCTTTGGATAAACAATAAAAATAAGTTTCAATGTTGAAGACAAATATACAATACAGTTGTTGTTACTATACAAGTGTGTTTGATATATAACACTTTCGGATAAATAGGACTAAATGTGATACTGAATAATTGTCTCAACCAGTACATACATGAGATCAACAATTGGGGTCTATAGAAAGACCTCGGACATAAAGTGGGGCAACTCACACAGTTCAATCCAACACTGCCCAAGGAAAAATGTCGGCTCACTTTGTCTAAGGTGAGAATGAAACAAGGTATAAAAAATTTACCTTAAGTATCATAAACAGTTTCAATATTCTTTCAAAATTAACAGTCCAATAACAGACGAACATTGCATAATTCCTGCATTTTTCATGGTTGCAAATATACTGCTCAAAAAGTTGAGGAACACCCAGTTCTTTCATGTACCCACAGCAATTGGTCATGGCAAGACAAATTAACTATAGTAACATGACATAATCAGGTGGTTAACCCTTTTTTAGACGTATATGTGATACACACGCTTTCACCAACAACAAATATGTGTTCCCTAAACAGATGTGCAAAAACTAAACACATAAAGTGTTAAGACATGCTACTTATATTTTTTGTTTTACTTGGCTGGGTGAGTTGAAGTCATTGTTTCAGCATCAAGCTTATGTCTTTGGCCCCAGTAAGGGTACTCCAGTACTGGTTGTTGTTCCACAGCTCTCAGCAATATTCCAGCTTTCATGGAGGTGATGCAGATTCCATAACTCCAGGTATATCATCTGATGTACGCAGCTGTGTAGCTTGGGAATAATGAAGTCTCATTATCAAACAAAGCTGGACAACATATAATAAGCTTTCTGTTTCCATTTCCATTATACACACAACAAGGGTTTATGACTTATCCTTATATATCAGCCACTATCCTGTGAGTGAGCATGCAGTGACTGTGTAGACAGACCTCTGTCCAGCCAAAGTCCTACCCCTGGGTGCTGGGTGCCGGAGTGTGCAGACAGACAAGTCCTACAGGTGTGAAACAGGTGCTTGTCACACCTCTGTCCTTGACCAGTGGCCAATATCTTGACCAGTGGACAGACCCTGGGTGAAACAGGTGTGCTGCCAATATCTTGACCAGTGGTACCCTGGGTGCTGTGTGCAGTGAGTGTGCAGACAGACAAGTCCTACCCAGGTCTACAGTGAAACAGGTGCTTGTCACACCTCTGTCCTGCCAATATCTTGACCAGTGGTACCCTGGGTGCTGTGTGTGTGCAGTGAGTGTGCAGACAGACAAGTCCTACCCAGGTCTACAGTGAAACAGGTGCTTGTCACACCTCTGTCCTGCCAATATCTTGACCAGTGGTACCCTGGGTGCTGTGTGTGCTGGGTGCTGTGTGCAGTGAGTGTGCAGACAGACAAGTCCTACCCAGGTCTACAGTGAAACAGGTGCTTGTCACACCTCTGTCCAACTACTGGACACGTCTCTACAGTACATGTGAGAGTGAAGGTAGCAACCACAAGGGACAACATATCCTCATAGGGTTGATGAACCTGGGTTAATGTGGGACTGAAGAAAGAGAGTGTGAGGGTGTGTGAGGGCACACATGACTAGAGAGGAGTAAATGCAGTGGCAATTCATGGTTTGATAGTGCTAACAAAGTTTAGGTTTAAGTTATAGAGATAGTTACACTTACGACCATAATGTCAAGGACTGATCATTAATGTGGTGGACGTGTTTGTTGCTTGACACTGCGCTCGGCATCAGACAGCAGTCTGTAAATAACTAAGTCTCGACAATCCCGTGACTGAACACCAATCAACACTGTTGGGACAACTTACTACACAGTCCACCAGTCACCAAGTCTGACCACCTGATATAGTTAGTCGACTCTTAGGACAAAGTTCAGCAGCCCGGGACCTATATCCTGATCCAGCCTCTGTAGTTACAGTCGCAATACATCATTAGGAAATGTGTAGTTTGGGCTCTAAAGGTTTTCTCTGTCAGTTAAACATCCTCAATTTATAAGTCTCCTTTCACTCTTGCTGTTCAATCTTCAAAAGTCTATGCCTCAGAACCCAATATGACTCTTTTTCAGCCTAGCGTGCAATCTAATGTGCAATCTATTGTACAATGTACAGTGTGGATGCCACATGGTGGACAAATGGTGATAATTCATGCACAATGTATAAGATCATGATCTTGCATTGTGACACAGAAATAACCCATGGTTATTCAAGAATGCAACCATACTACTGTACATTAAATACACAGTGACAGAAATATGTCATCATGACCAAAGGTGTAGTTATAATGCAACAGTCAAATAAAATTAAATGCAGTGAAGCAATTTCCTGTAAAGAATCCTGTCTGCCCAGGGCAAACCAGTGAATGAAAGCATGAGGGTTTAACATCATTGAGGCAAAGTGCACATAGCAAATGACAAGGTAAGGTGGGATTGACTACTGCATTAATGTAGTGAGTGAGTGAGTTTTACGCCACACTCAGCAATATTCCAGGTATATGGCGGCGGTTTGTAAATAATCGAGTCTGAACCAGACAATCCAGTGACCAACAGCATGAACATCAATCTACGCATTTATATAGAGTGAGTGAGTTTAGTTTTACTCCACACTCAGCAATATTCAAGCCATATGGCGGCGGTTTGTAAATAATCGAGGCTGGACCAGACAATCCAGTGATCAACAGCATGAACATCAATCTACGCATTTATATAGAGTGAGTGAGTTTAGTTTTACTCCACACTCAGCAATATTCCAGCCATATGGCGGCGGTTTGTAAATAATCGAGGCTGGACCAGACAATCCAGTGATCAACAGCATGAACATCGATCTACGCATGTATGTAGCAATACCCCACTGAGATACCATCCTTCAGCATGACATGGACACCCCACTCAGACACATGGGACTCTTATTTAGTTAGTCCTTGGTTGATCCCTGCCATGCCAACAAGGGAGAGAACGCCAACTACCATCTTTCAACGTCTGGTTTGACTGACCGGGAGATCAAACCACCAGGGTTCCACACTCCCAGCAGACACTCAATCCAGTGCACCAGTCAGTCCCATATCACAGAGCCAGGTTTCTCCTTGTGATGAGTACTGGTGTACTGGGTGATCTGCAGACAGGTTTCAGGGCTGATCTCGTACATCGTTATCCATCATGGTTGTAGCATGGAACAGCATGAGGTGTCTTCATATTCCTTCGGTGACCTTATTACAGATTTAGTTACGGACTGACTGAGTTTGGTTTTACGCCGCTTTTAGCAATATTCCAGCAACATCACGGCGGGGACACCAGAAATGGGCTTCACACATTGTGCCCATGTGGGGATTCGAACCCGGGTCTTCGGCATGACAAGCCAACGCTTTAACCATTAGGCTACCCCACCGCCCCGATTTAGTTACGGAGGATGAATGGAACCAAGTACAACAGAATGAACCAATCAAGTATATTCTGATTCCGCGCAGCACCGTGCCATGGACATGATAGCCAGAACAATCACCCCGACAAGGACGTCCACTCTGGAATGACTAAGAACTGGACTGACACCTGGTCAGATGAGTCCATCAGCAGCTGTACCTGGGAAGCAGTTCTCACATAAACAGGAGGAATGTACCACTAGGGTGTACAGCTCAATCAGGCCCATCTAGTGGTTTAAGATGTGATATCCAAACACTTTAAAAGAATTCTTTAACTGACACTTTTGAATATACCCTGGGTATACATTGTACATGCACCTCGAACTGGATGAGGTCGTTCTTTTACACTTTGTTCTAACATTTTGTCATAAAGTAATATTGTTGTGAGAGAAAAAATCCTATATGAATTCAACATAATACAAAGCTACATATATACTCTCGGCATCATATTTTTGCTTCACTCAAATTATCTTTTAAATCATCCTTAATAGACTGTGACTGCTTCTTCGACAATGCAGCTACAAACATATCTGGAATTATCCCCTGGTTCTCTGTTACCTATATTCCAGTGTATCACACATTGTACCACTGTGGGGAATCGAAACAGGGTCTTCAACATGACCGGCCAACAACCAGGCTACCTAAACACATCTGATTCGACTATTGCTGAAGTGAGAGAGTGAGCGAGGGACTGAATGAGTGAGCAGGTAGTGAGTGAGTGCAAGGGGAAACAAAATCAGATACACACATATCCAGTTCCCATACAAAACAATTTTATGTGTGAAGAAGTTATCTCCCTTACCTGAACCAACGCTCCATCTTCCTCCGACTATTACAGAAACCCCACAACAGTAACTAGGTGCAGTCTGTACAATCTTCACATACATCATTACCAGTATGCAGCCAGTGATGACTAGTCATCCTCAGTAGTGCTTTATAATTCATGTAATTATGGGTTAAAGTTTAAAAGAACAAGTTATAAACTATGATATCATTTGGCAATTAAACGTGATAAGTGTTTTCAGATGCATACGGTGATCACATCGTCGACATACAACAGCTTCGTCCAGCCACTCAGTAACATTTGTACACATCAGTAGCTAATGCCCTATCTCAGAATAATCTACTATGAAAACAAGACAAACAAATCTGTATATCTACCCAAGTGGGATATCCGAAAATAGGAGTATATCGTTCAGACAATTCCTGATGTCAAAAGAAAAATACTCAAAGCTCTAAAAAACCATCCAATATAAACCAACAAAAAGAGTACATTTGTTTGAAAACCAAACTGGTATATTTTTAACACGGCATACGTCTTTCTCAGGGATATGATGATATATGCATACAACAGTGGCTCTACACAGCTTGTGAAATGTACCAAATATAACACTGTCAACTTCGCATAAACAGTCTGATTAGAAATAATGAGTGTAACGTTTAACAAGGGACACATGTCCTCCATCTCTGACTATTTTCATGAATGTAATTATGTCAAACAATAACAAACTGTCAAATTCAATGACTGGCACTAGTAAGTAATCCCTTGCAATCACATGAAACCTGAAAACTGTTCCTATTTATTCATCTTACAGTCCGTTTGAATACCGATGAATTGCAATCTAACACAAAAACAAATAGACATAAGTAGTAATCACACGTCTCTGACATCACTAATGCACGTGCATATCACTTTTCGCGCTGTTCCTTTAGATGCCAATGCGCCCTTGTAACAAACTGGGAAAACGCACAAATAAATGATGACAGTTTCTTAAACAACTTTTTTATTTTTGTGACACAAATTATGCAATTCTTTTCTGGAGTTGGTCTGTTGTTTTTATTGCTGTCCGCGTTGGTTTGATTCTTTTATGTCTATTTGTTTTTGTGTTAGATTGCAATTCATCGGTATCATTTTGTCTCAAACGGACTTTAGACAAGGTTCAGGAGAGTAAGGCATTCAAAAGCATTTGTTTGTTTGCTTGTTTTCTGTTTCTTTTTTGTGGGATCTTTTAACGACACAAATCATTTTTCCAACCAATTATGGCCGCAGGGAATCTAGTGACTGATGTTATGAGCCATGGTACAATGACATTGAATTAAGTCACTAAGCCTGACCACTCCACCCAAAGTCACCTCTCATGTCCAGCACAGGTAGCTTACCAACTAAACAGATTGTTTATTATTATGTCTGGGATTAATGCCCAAAGTCAAACAATGATCACAAGTATGATGGACAATCACCCAAGGGAGGCGACTCTACAGATGTCGTAAGTTCCTGTGACCTCTACTACTGGATCTCCCATAACACAAATGCACCTCCCCAAAACATTCTCCATGACAATCAAGGGATAAAACAGTTTTCCTAACAACTGTCATATATAATACACTGTGTCATGCGATAATTATTCATTCAATCCATAATTCCTTTCTGTCACACAAATCACAGACAATATACACTGGTCCATCTATTTGATTAAACTCCACACAGAGTTTTATATTATTTTCATCATAATTAAGGTTACTTTTCAACAGGAAGCTCCACAAAGAAGCCTTTCAAGGTTTAACACACAATTTCAACATACCAGCTGTTACATCAACCATGTCTCCCGTGACAACACATTTTACATGAGTGTTACATATTAACAGAAGTATTTGTAAGCATTTCTCACAGTCATTTAGTCACATCCCTGATGAAATTGATAAAATTAAACAAAAATCAAAACCGTAGCTTAGCGTACATTAAGTCATATCAACACAATCAATTTTCCCAATGATTGTTACACATTTGACCCTAACCAGCTGAATGTCATATCTTTCAGGTACACTTTGTCTCCTTCAAACTTCAAAGTTCTGTTTGTCTTGACCTAACCAATTCCCTTTGCACAACAAGCTAACATTGTGACAGTAAGAAATTTAGGTACACTTAAAAAGGCTCTTCAAACATAATCTTTCCTTGATCCTCCCCAGCTTATTCTGTAACTTTGCACCCTCTTGGCCTACCTTTGACTTCCATCCCTTTGCTATGTAACTGCCCAGTCTCTACACATCCATATTAATCCTCCAGCACAGGACTGCTTTTCAGTTTCCTTGTTCACTGGACAATAGCATCCACAGAGCTGATTTTATGTCTGCTTCTCTCAATCACCTGAAATTCAGGACTAAACCACTGGGGCACTCAGGTAGAAATCACAGCACATTCTCTTCATGCAACTGAATTAGGAATTTTGTCATTATTCAAAACAAATTGAACAACACTGCCCAAGCAGAAGTGTCAGAGATGTAAAAGAGCTATTTGTTCAAAAGATCATAAGTTACATAACAGCATTTTATATAAATATGTAAATTATCAATATCATGATGTGTGAAACTGCTAATATTTGCTATGAGGGAAAACACAGATTTGTTCTAAAAGTTGGTAGATAACAAATTGAAGGTAATCTGAACTGAAACAAATATTCAATCAATTTCTATTTGTTCTCAATAAGGCCACAACAAATCAACTTCATGTTTGTCCAAATATCTTAAGGTGATGATAATAATTTGTAAACAATAACAATTACAACAGTATTTAAGGTAATACAATTTTCTATTAGCCTATAGACAGGTGTAACTTTATCAATTTATCAGGATGTAACCTGTCCTTGATGGAACAATCTCCATGAAATACCCCACAATGTTTAAAATGTAGAAGTCAGTTCCGTGAACAAATCATTAATCTGTTGTGGACTCATGCTCTCCGATCATTATGGATAGTCCTATCAAACTCTATCCCAGTTCAAGTGAAGGACACACTGTCCCACTATCCTCAATAAACTATCAAAAATTGTTCACATCTAAAGCAAATGCTGCTTGGCGTGTAATACATGATGGTGTAAACATTAGTGCCAAAGCAAGGCTAAATATTAGCAATATCAAACAGTCAAGCGTGGTATACGATAGTTGATGTGTATCAGCACAATCTTTACCAAAACCTATAAAACTGTTCTACATACAGAACTTACTGAAGCCTAGTAGAAATGCAAACTGTTCTTCCAATGACTAAACATTATTAGTGCACTCAGCCTCTCTAACCACTAGTCTGAAGTAAGAGTCAAGTAAACATTTTCTTTGGGCAAGTTAGCTCAGCTAATAACTGTCCACACCATAACACTTGAACTGAACAAAAAGTAGAGAGAGGCATGTTAGGGCTAGACTGACTGACTGAGTTTTGGTTTTACGCCGCTTTTAGCAATATTCCAGCTACATCACCGCGGGGGACACCAGAAATGGGCTTCACACATTGTACCCATGTGGGGATTCGAACCCGAGTCTTCGGCGTGACGAGACAACGCTTTAACCACTAGGCTACCCCACCGCCCCTCATGTTAGGGCTAGAAGACTTTTAGTGGCATAGACTGTTGGTGCTCTGGAATTTTCAGCCAATCAGATGCCAAGGGAGACACTACTGCAATACACTAAGGGAGGGGTGCTTATTTGAACATTTAAATCACATGATTGTTTCTACCCTTTAACAATGGTCTGAATATTCATCACACATCGTAAGTTATCCAACATGGTCCTAGTCCTGTAATAGTACACAATGATTCTTCACTGAACAAAACAGTACCTCGGAAACTAGGACAAGAGAATGAGGGTTGTGGATTGGTCCATTTTAGTTTAGTGGTTAAGTATTGCAGTCATTACAGGGTTGGGTTGGAGGTGGGTCTAATATAGTTGTAGTTGTCAAACAGCCATCTTTAGGAAGGTAGAGTGATGATAAGGTGGGCATGGAGTAGTGGTGGGGTCCATATTAAGTTCATGGTAAACAAGTCCGAAGTGGAATAGGTTCTGTTTTGGTTTAGTCATAAAGTGGGTAAGCCACTTTCGGTGGGGCTGTTATTGGGTTGGGGTGGAAATTATTTCAGTAATGTTTTAGCAAGACGTGAGAAATGTTGCCCTGTGAGTAGAGAACCTTCATTCATTAATCAGCAATCGAAACCGTAACAACAATGATGAAATATATTCTACTGGTATAGAGCTGCATTTCTACAGTGCTTCAGCATTGAAAGACTAGAGCCCTGTTGGTGTTCTACAGTGCTTGGTACTGTCCACTTCCAAATGGTGTTTAATCAAATAAATACTGTAAGAGTTATCTGCCCCTGTCGGGTGTAGCTACTGCTATAACTTGGGAGAACGTTTGGGAGAACGCTGGGCTTCCCTCTGGTCTCCGTGTCCAACTAGTGGAGTCTTCTCTTCATCAAAGTCAGCTGGAGTTGTCTCCTCTTTAACAGAATCTCCATCTGCATTCCTATCTCCTTCTCCGACTTTCTTCAACATGACATCATCCAACTTAGTCGCATCCTCTGACCAATCCTCAAGTTGAGCTTTTGAAGCCTTCTTCTCTGCTTCGTTGCTAGAGGCATTCTTGATCTCAACGGTGGGCATGTCTGGGGTCGTGGCCTTATGATGGAGGCCCTCAACAGAGTCCTTCTTGTCCAGGATATCACTGAAGGTCATGCTGCTGTTGTTGCGACTCATTTGCGAGGAATTGAGTGCCTTGTGCCATTCCTTCTTGAAGTGCTCTTCTTCATTCTGGTTGTACTCTTGCTGCTTGCGCACCATCATCGATGTGTGTCTGGCAGCGATGTAGTGATTGCGTCGGATGCGCAGGAACTGCACAAAGGTCTTGGCCTTGATGGTGAAGTCGGGCGTGTATGGCTCCTTCTTGTAGTCAACACTGTCCTGGCCAGGCGGTGCCAGTTGTTTCTCCTTAAAAGCTGTAGAAACAAAACAGACATGATCAAGCTTTCAGCTCCAAACACAGCGCATCCACAACTTTCCCATTATACAGCATGTCCTACAGGTCTAACTTCATGACCATGTTGAAAATCCCACATTTCAATCTATTAAATATCCTAAAAGTAGTACATCCTGCAAGTCTATGCATAGTATATTTTACAGATCTATTCATGGTTATCATATTGATGTATACAGTGTTTATCCTACAAGTCTATATATGGTACGTCCTACAGGTTTATATATAGTATATTCTGCAGGTCAATACACGGTATATGCTATGAGTCTTTACATGGTACGTCCTACAGGTTTATACATAGTATATTCTGCAGGTCAATACACGGTAAATTCTTTGAGTGTATACATGGTACATCCTACAGGTTTATACATAGTATATTCTGCAGGTCAATACACGGTATATACTATGAGTCTTTACATGGTATGCCCTCCAGGTTTATACACAGTATATTCTGCAGGTCAATACACGGTATATCCTATGAGTCTTTACATGGTATGCCCTCCAGGTTTATACACAGTATATCCTGCAGGTCAATACACGGTATATCCTATGAGTCTTTACGTGGTATGCCCTCCAGGTTTATAAACTGTATATCCTACACAGGGGCAGATCCAGGATTTTGGTTAGGGGTAAAAGCTCCTCAGGGAAAATGTTTTCGGGGAAAGAGGGGTGTACGCACCCCCACCCCAATCGTCCTTTGGATCCACCACTGCTACAGATCTATACACAACATATCATCCTTCCTGTACACTGTATGCAGGTATGCATATAGTCTAACATAAGTTTTTCTTCTCTCAGAGCTCCAGATAAGATTTATCTCATGTGGGTACTGTACCCACTGTATTGTTTTGGAGTGGGTATTATGAATGTTGAGTGGGTATTTCATTTTCCTTTACCCACTGCTTTCAAATATGTGAGTATTTCAGTGATTTTACTGACCTAAGTATATGTCATTGAATAGGTTTACTAAGCAGGTATGTTCTGCCTTATGTCATACCTAATCAAAACCAACTTAAATATAATGGAAATTATTTCATAAAAAATCACTCATCCTATACTGACAGTACAACACTAGTCCTATACTAACAGTACAACTTGATAGCAATCGATGTCTTTTTCATTACGCAAGCAATTTTATAAAAGCGCATTTGTTTTAAACTTTTTGCGTATCTAACATTTTAAATGCATAATTGGTACGCAACAATTATTTTTCAATGCGTAATTGGAAATTTTCTATGAGTATTTTACCCGGATACGCAGCTTATCTGGGCCTCTGTTCTCTATACTGCTACTTTTGTCACTGCACTGAAATGCCAGGTTTGGGGCTATTCACATGTCTCAATGTTCATGATATAAAAGTCCATATATTTCCTATCCCAGATCAGCACATGGCTATATACCTACAGTTCAGAGAGACAGATAAACAACCAGTCTTACTGAGAGCTCCGGTGCCAAAGTAGCTGAATGGTCCCGCTTCAAATGCCACGTTCTCCTTCCCGACGTACACATCAGCATGGCCTGGACAGAGAAGAATACAACAAATCATGTTCAGGCTACATCATATGTGACCACACTCTGGCACAGGTACCATTCTCCATACCATTCCTTGTGTAGGATCAATACCGACTGAAGGAACAGTGTGGTGTCCTTTCTGACTGAACTGGATTAATATGGCACATTAAAAGCTTTCTATCACAGTTCGGAGTAGAGAAAGGCCAGGTCAGATATTTCCAAATACAGCCCACTGACTTCAGACTCTCCACCTGGATGTTTCCATCCTCAACAGCCGTTTTCCATCCCCAACTGTCTGCTTCCACCCATGCTTTGCAAACCAAACTGTCAACTTCCATCACTAACACCAACCCTCAGGCTTGCATCACAAACTTCCAGTCCCCATGCTTGCACCCCAATTTCAAACTTCCCCAACACCCAACCCTCATGCTTGGGACCCAATAAACATGTTTGCATCGTAAAAGGCCAACTTTCGTCCCCTCTCAGCCCACCCTCACACCTGCATCACAAAGACCCAATACACAAGCTTGTACCTGCAAACACCACCTTCCACATCCCCAAGCCCTCAGTCATGCAGCTCAAACTTCCAATCCCCATGCTAACATCCCCAACTGCTAATTTCTACACCCAAACACCCACCCTTAGGTTCCACCCCTAAAATAACCCAGATCTCATTCTCTAGCCATTTACTATTAAATAACTGCTATACACAATTGAAGGTAAACCTTGGATAATCCAACATGGCAACTGGTGGGTAATCTTACCTTGAAGGATGAGGATGAAGTAGTCGCACTCGATCCCAGCCCTGTATAAATAGTTCTTCTCACTGTCATCTTCTGTGAAGGTAAGGTTAACGACAATGTTCTGTTGGAGGAGGCGTTTGAGAACGTTGCGAGTCAGGTTGTCTTCAGAGAAAGGCTCCACACCTGCAACAGTGAGTGACAGAGTGACTTGGGATGAACATGGCTCTGAACAGCACTTCAGTTGTCTACTTAATGAGGAAGAGAAATGGCTACTGACGAAAGTTCATCTGGAACCTTAACACCATCAGCAACAACTCATTCAATTTTGACTTCAAAAATCCAAAATTCCAGTCGCCATTGCTAAAACCACTGAGACACTCTTGTCACCTGGTCTTTCAAAAACTCAGGTATGATGTAATTCTGACATTTGATACTTGACATGTTAATCAAGAGTGCAACAACTATACACTAAAGAATATTTTTAACATTTCAGAGACAGATAATATTTGAAATGTAGGTCAATACAAAAATTACTGAGTTAAAAAACTGTATGTCTGTGTGTAAGTATTTTGTCAACAATATTCTTCTTGATCTATTTCCTGGAGTTCATCAGCACATGCCTATTGCATCATAATATCATGTGACATCCATTGAAGCATGACGTCATGACGAGGAGTCACATCATGTACTTTGTTAAATAATAGGTTCCCATCTGATACACACATTAGATACAACATCATATGATAAATGGTTTAGCACATTTAAACATGAACACTGTCTCTCTCTTTTAGCAAAACTGACTTTTCAACAAAGTGGGAATGGAAACTTGTCATAAACCATTAATGAAACACCAAGTTACTGTCAACAGTATTTCAGTTATACCACACTGTGTTCGGGTACAACGCTGCTTGGAACAGTATATCAGTTATACCACACTGTGTTCGGGTTCAACACTGCTTGGAACAGTATTTCAGTTATACCACACTGTGTTCAGGTACAACACTGCTTGGAACAGTATTTCAGTCCGATTATAGAGTTTTCCGTGTAATGGCTCTTTGAGTAGCATTTCAGTTTCATCACAGCAAATCGGCTTCACACGGGAGAAAAGATCAAAGTGATTTGACTCTCAGAAGATAACCACTTTAGTGAACTTCTTTGAGGGGCATTTTTAGAAGTTGTATAGATAAAGGATAACCAAGTTCTATGGATAGTCAACTTCTTTATTGCAATGAGTGTGACGTTTCGGTGTAGGTGCTAACACCATTATCAAGCAAGTTATCATCACTTGCTTGATAACGGTGTTAGTACCTGCACCGAAATGTCGCACTTATTGTAATAAAGAAGTTGACTATCCATAGAACTTGGTTTTCCTTCACGTTAGTGAAACCCAAAATCTGGAACTGACAAATCTAGCTGCATGTCATGAACCCCTAATCATAGGTTTCTGGTATGGGTAAGGGAAGCAACTCTGCATAGTGTCATGCAGCAGACGATTGAGCTACCAGTGGCCCTGACATTGATTTGACTAGATGAGCAATGCGGTCTTCACGACCACCTCGTCTAACAACTCACTGGTCCACAGAAACTGGAAGGCTGCCAGCGCCAACTGGGGGGAGAGTTTGGTGTAGTTCTCCTCCTCTGGTCCGCTGAATACACTGTAGTCCTGCTTCTCGCGGCGCCGAGGTTTCTTCTTACGGTTGTCAGCTGAAAAACAGTTCCAGAGAATTATGATATGTAAACCAATGACTGTATACAACACTTTATATTACATGTACACGACATTACATCTTTAAAATTCACACAGGTTTCACTGTGTGCACTGGCCATATCTCAGCTGTAGCTATGGAAACAATGTCTGGACATTTGTGGTTATAACAAGTCAGCACTCCAAGTGTCTATCCAAAGCTTTGCAGACGTTAAGGTCAACCAATCACCTGTGACAATGTGTGGTCTGGGGACGAAATCCTTCAGAAATGCCAGCAATGTTTTTAGGGCCCCATGGCTACAATACGATAACAAGAAACATTCATTTGAAAGTAAAGCATTATCCAATTGTCCCTGCTTATTCAATTTTAAAGACATTATCTAAAATTGGAAAATTTGAATATTTCCTAGATGGAATTCAAAGAGCTGAAATAGAAATACAAATTTGAATGTTAAGCTAAATTGAACAAATGGCTGCAGATCAATCCACCCACGCACGTCAATCCCCAATGAATTTTCCTGCCCAGTGGGTACTCATAATCTTGTACATGTATGAGTTACCTCCCTTCTATCAATAGTTTCCACTCCGCTGCACTCGGTAATTCAATAACCATGAAAAAATCAAATTCATTACATAATCAATACTGTTATCCCTGCAACACAGTGTGTCAGCATGCCCTAGACAAGGTCAACCGGCAGCTCTACCAGCCACACTGAAAATATAACTAGCCTCACCAACACAACATAACCTACATGACAGTGAAAGGTAAATGAAATCCTTCTGTCTCAATTTACCAAGACAAGAGAGTCAATGGTTCAGTCTGATGCTCAGGGTCGGAGCAGTCTATGGTCCGAGAACTGCAATGGTTAATCAGTATGTAACCTTTGGTGTTCTCTGTAGGTTCATCAACGGTGCTGATGGAGACATAACGAGGTACAGCCTTGTTCTGGGTGTGTCAGCTGTGTAAACAACCTGACATTTACCATCTGATTTGGCTCCCCGTAAGGGTGACTTTCAAAAGGACACGTTGACAAACTGATTAATATACATCACACACCAACATACTTGATGTTGGCTGCAAAATATGATTGGTCGTATAATATACATGTTTGTCCATTTCCAGCTATGCAGTTCTACACATGTAGTCATCTTGATTGTGTAGTAACTAGTGAGTCGGGTTTAACACCACTTTGTTCAGCATTCATGCATATTCAGCATATATCATAGCATGACTGCTTACTAGGGCTGTAACGATGCATCAAACTATCCATGGATTGCAATTGTTGAGTCTCCGATAGCAATTAATCGATGGTAGAAACGAAAAACTATCGATGCATCATTAGTATGAGGGACTATCGATAGTTTAGTAATTGACTTTGTTCATAAATGTGCAGCACAAAATAGAGGAAGTACCAGATTCGTTCACTTTGATTTAGGGTTATCTGCCCCAGTTACCTGTTTAACAAACATGACTGTCTACTTGATCTGGGTTTCAAGTGTCTTGTCAGTTATTAAAGAGACTGAAACTACTTCAACTTGTTTTTATTTCATATAAATTATACATTCATTTGGGAAATGACTTCAAATGAGACAATTTACGGAGAAAAAAAACTATTGCAATAGTTGGTAGCAATAGACTATCGCTATCGCAAGAGTATATTACAATAGATTATCAGCGAGAATAAATGCTGGACTCCGATGTTCATCCCACGGCGTAAAACCAAACTCACTCACTCACTGTTGATGAGCGAGTACAGTTTGATGCTGCTTATGGCAAATACTCCAGATATGTCATAGTTTCGTCAGATATGGCCTTCACACGTTGTTCACGGAGGATTCAAACATATGTCTTTGTATTAATATTATCCTCTAGTTTCAAACTGTTCTGAGTTGTTCCCTGGTATTCAATGAGGCTGTGTAATGACAAATAAACTGTATCACAAAAGCATAATTTAGAAAGCGTATTGCAGCATTCCTGTATAAAATATGTGTTATTAGTGGTTACCTGTTTTAATGTCTAAAATAAATACCCATTCTGAGTGCAATTAAGTCATATAGACAAGGAATATTTCTTCATCCCATCAATCCAAGAAATCCAATGACTATAAATCAAGATTTACACGAGATCTTATTTCATCTGTTTCTGTGAACAACAGGTCGTCTATCAGAAAAGGATTTCATGCATCAACATCTTTAATTATACTGACATTTTATAATATCTCCCATATATCAGAAGATTATTCGAAATTCATCGACCACGAAATCCATTACGACTTACAATTTGTGAAGAAAAGATCTTTCGCAATGTTGCGATATTACAGGAATTTGGATCTATTTACAAACTGTATCAGTGGAAGTTTACCAACATGTACATATTTTACCTCCATGTGTGCGATGCTGTACTTCCTTCTGGTTTCATCAAGGGAGGATACAATGACAAATATTATTATTATTTTTCATGATCTGCATTATTCAGCTAGTGAATGATTTTGTTAGGATGTATAAGTTCTGATTCTGCTTATGAACACATTTTTTCAAACATTCATCTTGTCGCCTATAGAAATCGTGAGTTGGCCCACGCCCTTAATTAAGGCTGTTAACAATGTCAATGTCGGAATGATTATCAAACGAAATCATTATAAACTTGATAAATATGAAAATATTTTTAGAAAGACATCTACAGTTACATAATTGGTTCATGCAATAAATTGTTTTTGTTTATAGCTCATTAAACAGAAAGTTGCTAATTGTTTCAAAAATGGGAAACTTCAGTGTTTTCTCTTCACCAAAGAACAAAAATATTGATCGAATTATAAAAAATGATTTCATTATGACGAAAATATGAGACTGAGTACCACTTGACGTGATGTGCCTGAAGTCAACAATGGACTATTGTGGCTGTGTGGTGAAAAATTTGACAAATACATTATTAATTCATGGGGATTTCATTTTAAGGGATATAAACTACTTAAAGTTAAAGTTGATATATTTAGAAAGCTGAGCATTCACATGAGTGAGTGAGCGAGTTTGGTTTTACGCTGCACTCAGCAACATTCCAGCCATATGGCGGCAGTCTGTAAATAATCGAGTCTGGACCAGCTAATCCAGTGATCAATAGCATGAGCATCGATCTGCACAATTGGGAACTGATGACATGTGTCAACCAAGTCAGCAAGCCTGACCATCTGATATTGATCCCATTAGGATCAGCAGCTCACAAGACTTTCTTGCTAAACTTTATATAAAGCATGGGTTAAATGATATGTAAATTCTACTTTGTAATTAGTTATTGCAAGTTTATTAGGGGATGTCATTGTGCTGCTCTCCTGTCGCTGTCAAATGGGTTCGACAGCAGCACTGAGAGGATTAATGAGCACTTTGGAGCTGAACCCTGTTTTACACAGCAGTCTCAGTGATATGAGTATTCATTACCATGTTTACAGTTTAAACAAACACGTGGCTGTTCCATGTTTATAACATCTCTGTCACATTTAGTGTAAGGTTATTAAATACATCCATGACACTAATTCTAACTTGTTCTTAAGTCTCCAATTCATAAACTTGTTCTTAAGTCCTCCATTTGGTCCTCAGGTACAAGAATCCAAGTTAAGTTGTTCCAAGGTCCTCAGGTCAAGTTACATGCTGTTGGTCCTCAGGTACAAAAGTTACAGGCTGTTCCCAGGCATACACAAGTTGCACGCTGTTCCAAGGTCCTCAGGTACACAAGGTACACATGTTCCAAGGTCCTCAGGTACACAAGTTACAGGCTGTTCCAAGGTCCTCAGGTACAGGCTGTTCCAAGGTCCTCAGGTACAAAAGTTACAGGCTGTTCCAAGGTCCTCAGGTACACAAGTTACAGGCTGTTCCAAGGTCCTCAGGTACACAAGGTACGGAAGTTACAGGCTGTTCCAAAGTCCTCACGTATGCAAGTTACAGGCTGTTGTTCACAGGTCCTCACGTATGCAAGTTACAGGCTGTTGTTCACAGGTCCTCAGGTATGCAAGTTACAGCCTGTTGTTCACAGGTCCTCAGGTACGGAAGTTACAGGCTGTTGTTCACAGGTCCTCAGGTACGCAAGTTACAGGCTGTTGTTCACAGGTCCTCAGGTATGCAAGTTACAGGCTGTTGTTCACAGGTCCTCAGGTATGCAAGTCACAGGTCCTCAGGCTGTTGTTCACAGGTCCTCAGGTATGCAAGTTACAGGCTGTTGTTCACAGGTCCTCAGGTATGCAAGTTACAGGCTGTTGTTCACAGGTCCTCAGGTATGCAAGTTACAGGCTGTTGTTCACAGGTCCTCAGGTACGCAAGTTACAGGCTGTTGTTCACAGGTCCTCAGGTATGCAAGTTACAGCTGCTGTTCCAAGGTCCTCAGGTACATGAAAGTTACAGGCTGTTGTTCCAAGGTCCTCAGGTATGCAAAGTTACAGGCTGTTGTTCACAGGTCCTCAGGTACGCAAGTTACAGGCTGTTGTTCACAGGTCCTCAGGTACGCAAGTTACAGGCTGTTCCAAGGTCCTCAGGTACACAAGTTACAGGCTGTTTCCAAAGTCAAGGTCGCAGGAGTTCAGGTTCCAAAGTTATGAAGCAGGCTGTTCCAAGGTCCTCAAGGACACAAGTTACAGGCTGTTCCAAGGTCTTCAGGGATGCACAAGTGAGTTACACACATTGTTCCAAGGTCCTCAGGTGCACAAGTTACAGGCTGTTGTTCCAAGGTCCTCAGGTACGCAAGTTACAAGCTGTTCTTCCAAGGTCTTCAAGGACACAAGTTACACATTGTTCCAAGGTTCCCAAGTACGTGAGTTACACATTGTTCCAAGGTTCCCAAGTACGTGAGTTACACATTGTTCAAAGGTCCTCTGTTAAGGACTGAACAGGAATTACTCCAATCGGCACCTGATTGTTTCAAGCTTAACACACAAGTAGCTTCTTCTCAATAGATGAAATTGAGACGTCAGAAAATTAGATTGTTTCAATCCCCCATACACCAGGCAGTAGATTG